AGTACCGGGGCCCATGGGGGGCTCTGCCCGCCACGCCGGGGTGCAAGGCCGAGGTTTGCTGGGGGCTTGCTGTCAGCGCAGCCCCTGCGAGTGACACCGCGGCGGGGGCGGCTCTGCTGATTTCAGCCCTCGGAGCAGGGGTTCCCATTCCAAAGACGCCTTGGATGGAGCGAGCTGAAGAGCTGCCAGACCCCAGTCCCCGGAGCGGGAAAGAAGGGGAGACCCTGGGAGACCCCCTTGCAGGTGAGGAGCTCGTTCCCATGGAAGGACCACCCTGTGCCCCCCACTTTCACCCTCCCTCAAGCGGTTGGGGTTGAGGGCGAAGCGGCGGCACGGCTCTGCCCTTGCTGGTGCTGTTATTCACCATCCCCCACCGCGACGCGGTTTCCCTTCGCGAAACGAGACGTTGCTCTTGTTTGCGACCCGCAGCAGGATGTGCCGCCCGAAGAACGAAGGAAGAGCCAAACCTGAAACGAGAAAGCGCTGAGCGAGGGGGAGGGCACGGAGTCGCAGCAGCGAAACGGGAAGGAAACGTTTTGGAGAGCCCTCGGTGGGAGGCAGCTCCCGAGAGCGAGACGGGGCCAGGAGGGGATAAACTCATCCCTCATGGAGGAAACCAAAAGGTCCTCGAAGAATCCAAAGCCCAGTACAGAACCGCCACCCGGGCGAAGAAGTACACGTGCAACGAGTGCGGAAGAAGCTTTGGACAGAGCTCCAACCTTATCGTGCATCAGCGGATCCACACCGGAGAGAAACCTTATAAGTGCCACGACTGCGGGAAGTGCTTCAGGCAGAGCTCAAACCTCATCGTCCACCAGAAGACTCACACGGGAGAAAAGCTCTACGAGTGCCCCAAATGCCAGAAGCGCTTCCCGGACAGGTCGCTGCTCATCAGGCACAAGAGGGTCCACGTAGGAGAAAAACCTTTTAAATGCCAGCAGTGTGGGAAAAGCTTCATTCACCAATCGAGGCTTCTTGTCCATGAGAAGGTGCACGTGGGAGAGCAGCTCTACCAGTGTCCCGAGTGTGGGAAGTGCTTCAGGGACAAATCAAAGCTCCTCCAGCATCAGCGGCGGCACGTGGGAGAGCGGCGTTACAAGTGCTACGAGTGTGGGGAGGAGTTTGGGCAGAGCTCGGACCTCAACCTCCACCAGAGGATCCACGTGGAGGAGAAGCTCTACCAGTGCTCCACGTGCGAGAAGTGCTTCAAGGACAGGTCCACCCTCATCAGGCACGAGACGGTGCACACGGGAGAGAAACCCTACAAATGCCACGAGTGCGGGAAGAGGTTCACCCGCAGCTCGGACATCATCGTCCATCAGCGGACGCACACGGGGGAGAAACCCTTCCAGTGTCCCGAGTGCGGGAAGAGCTTCAGCCACCGGTCAAATCTTTTCCGACACCAAAGGATGCACACAGGGGAGAAGCCATATAAGTGCGAAGAGTGCGGGAAGCGATTCGGGCAAAGCTCGGAGCTTATCGTCCACCAGCGGACCCACACCGGGGAGAAACCCTACCACTGCTCCGAGTGCGAGAAGTTCTTCAGGGGGAGGTCAACCCTTTTCAGGCACGAGAGGCTGCACACGGGGATCAAGCCGTACGAATGCAGCGAGTGCGGGAAGAGCTTCGGGCAGAGCGGGGACCTCATCGCACATCAGCGTTTCCATACGGGCGAGAAGCCTTACCAGTGCTCCCAGTGCAGAAAGTTCTTCAGCAACAGATCCAGCCTCGTGCGGCATCAGCGGCTGCATGCGGGCGAGAAGCCCTACAAGTGCCACGAGTGTGAGAAGAGCTTCGGGCAGAGCTCGGACCTCATCGCTCACCAGCGGACCCACACCGGGGAGAAGCCTTACCCCTGCCCGGTCTGTGGGAAGAGTTTCAGCAGGAGATCCAACCTCATCGTGCATCAGAGGGTGCACAGAGGGCTTTGCAAGTGCCAGAAGTGCGGGAGAAGCTTCCAGCCCAACTCACATTTTGGCACGACGGCGGGGCAGGACTCCCTCCAGTGCCCCCAGTGTGCAGAGGGTTTCAAGGAGGGGTCGAACCCCATCGAACACCAGAGATAACACTGGGGAGAAACGGCTTTGTAAGTGCTCGGAGCAGGGAAGGAGTTTTGGGAAGAGTTGAGACGTTGTACGTGAAAGAGGGGGAAAAAAAATCAGCGCTTCTTCTAGGTAAAATTCTTCAGTTTTAAAGACTGCAAAAGTGGAAAAAAAACACCACCCCACGCAAATGATCTAAAGTAGGCTGATCAGTAAATAATATACTTCTTTTTTTTCTTTTTTTTGCTAATTATTTCCTCTTATTATTGAGTTTGCTCAAAGGGCTTGATGTGTTGGGCCACGATCCACTCACTCCCATCATTCCCCAGTCAAACCAACTGCTGTTTTAGGCTGTCCGGCATCCCATCGTCTGCCTTTAAAGCCCTTCCTTAAATCCTTTGACATTTTCCAGGCTGGGTACCCGTCAGCACCCCAAAGATACTGTAGAAATCTGTCTTCCCCTGCTCATCCTTTCCTCCCCCTTGTATGTATGCAACCTCAATAAAAAAAAGGCCCTCTGTTCCTAAGGAATATGATGTTTTCCTTGTATTTTTCTGCGAGCTAAATAATAGCTATATGTTAAATTTTTATTTGCTCCTGCGTGGCAGAGAGAAGTTACTGCTGTTAAAAAGCGGGGGAAAGAAGGGAAAATTGCAAAGAGCTCCGTTGGTGACCGGGGGACGGGAGCTGACTGTGACCTAAGAGAAGACAGGGAGATCTTGGTGAAACCATGATTGCAGTGAACTGGCCTGAGGCCGGTCCTCGTCCCTTCCAGCTCTGCATCCTGGAGGAAAGCAGCTTTTGGGGAAATCGCACTTTCCCAACAGGTTATTGGACAGTTGTTGGGTTTTTTTTTGAGGGAGCAGGGTGGGTTTTTCTTGTTCCTGAGCTGGGGTTGAGCTTGGAAGCTGCTCAGGTTTGGTTAGTGGACCCAAACCAAGCCTTGGTGCAGGAAACTCCAGCTAAAGCCTGACCATGAGTGGGGAAACTGGTGTCTTTGGCCAGACGGTTTCTGCCTTGGTTTCCAGAAGAGCCAGCGTCTGCTTGGCTTTGCTGTGCTAGACACAGGCTCACAGGGATGAAGACGACCTGAAGAAGTCCCTTACCAGGCTTCCATTTCCTAGCATGAGAGAAGGTCCACAGCCATTGGAGTGCTCCAGGTATTTCACTAAGAGCTTGGCTCTTTGCCTTTGTCTTCCCCTTCCCTTTCCTCCTCTTTGTGCAGTGGGACTTACCTCCCATTCCCTTTTAGCTCCTTATCTCCCCCTTTCCTCCAAAGACTTAAAGCTGCCCATGGTGGCCACCACAGCAAAGATCTGGGGGAACACCACGGAAATGGCATCACCTCTGCTTGCTGGGGTGGTTGTTTCCACCTTTTACTTTGATGTAGCTGTCCTATAACTTTCTGACCTTAAATCGGCACAAATCTCTGATGTGTTTAGACCCCAGATGGTCCGTTGGGGCAGTCAATATATCATTGACAGCCAAAACTGAGTATCTGAGCCAGAATTGTGGTACCACAGTGCTGCTTTAATATAGAAAGAGGGTTGGTTGATTGCTCCTATGCTGTCCCCTGCACGGTTGGGTTGGAGTTGCATTGATAGGTGATGGGACCATCCCATCTAGCGATGGGTCACCTAGCCCAAGGCAAGAGGACGGGGTGGCCCAACCACAGCCCTCAGAGATGTAGAGGAGGTACCAAAACAGCAGGAGCATCAGCAGTGCCGCACCAACAGTGTCGCTCTGAGGCCACCAGTGTCCCCAGACTGTGTACAGTGTCCTTATCCCAGGACAAGGAAAGCAGGTAAAGGAGGTGCCTGGGGACGACGTTTCTATGATGGAAGGGGCCATCAGAAGAGGGAAGCACGGGAGCTACGCAGCAAATGCCAAGCCCATTCCGTGTGCTTGCAATAATACACGTTATTTAGTAAATAGGTTCATGTTTTACTCTAAAACATATATACAGGTATTTCTCCCCCGACCCCCCGTCCTTGCTGATGCCACACAAAGATCCTGCACTTCCCATACGCCAGTGGCTGTTTCTTCTGTGCTTTTCCTTCTAGATCTAGGAAGGTCTGAGATTTTTCTCCATCCTGTCTCTTTTTTTTCTCCAGGAATTTAATGATTTTTCTCTTCTGCATCACTGCTGACGCTCAGCGGGGCTGAGCACGGGGCAACGTTGTCCTCGACCAAGACGTGATGGCTTGAAAGAGCCGAGTTCTCCAGGAAGCTTTTCCCACGCTGCCGGCCTTTGCAGAGTCTGTCCACTCCGTGCGCTCGCTGGTGCACCACGAGGTTGGATTTCCTACCGAACCGCTTCCCGCACGCCGGGCACAGGTAGGGCTTCTCCCCGGTGTGGGTTCGCCGATGCGCGATGAGGTCCGTGCTCTGCCCGAAGCTCTTCCCGCACTCGTGGCACTTGTAGGGCTTCTCGCCCGCGTGCTGTCGTCGATGCCGCACGAGGCTGGAGCTGTTGCTGAAGACCTTCCCGCACTCGGGGCACTTGTAGGGTTTTTCCCCCGTATGGAAACGCTGGTGGGCAACGAGGTCCCCGCTCAGCCCGAAGCTCTTCCCGCACTCGGGACACTGATACGGTCTCTCCCCCGTGTGCAACCTCTCATGTCTCATGAGCGTGGAGCGACCCTTGAAGCATTTCCCACACTCGGAGCAGCGGTAGGGCTTTTCGCCGGTGTGGGTCCTTTGGTGGACAACCAGATCTGCCCTGTGGCCAAAGCTTTTCCCGCACTCTTGGCACGGGAAAGGCTTCTCGCCCGTGTGCCTCCTCTGATGGGTAAAAAGGTTCGACCGATGGTTGAAGCTTTTCCCACACTCGGAGCAAGCGAAGGGTTTCTCCCCGGTGTGGATTCTCTGATGGACCGTAAGGTCCGATTTGCGGGTGAATCTCTTCTCGCACTCGTGACACTTGTAGGGCTTCTCCCCCGTGTGCAGCGTCTCGTGCCTGATGAGGGTCGACCGGTCTTTGAACCATTTCTCGCACCTGGGGCACTTGTAGACTTTTTCCCTCGCGTGCAATTCCTGGTGCAGAGCGAGCTTCCCGCTCTGCCCGAACCTTTTCCCACACTGGCAGCATCTGAACGCTCTGTCCCCTGCGTGCGTTTGCTGATGCTCAAGGAAATCCAGGTCGTTCCCAAAGCTTTTCTTGCACTCGCGGCACCTCAAGGGCTTTTTCTCGGTGTGCAGCCGCTGATGCTTCGCGAGGTTAGATCTGTCGCTGAAGAACTTCTCGCACCCGCAGCATTTGTAAGGCTTTTCCCCGGTGTGTGTCCTGCGGTGCACAGTAAGGTTTGAGCTCTGCCTGAAGCTCTTCCCGCACGCGGTGCATATATATTTCTTTTCTTGGGCGAGGGCTCTGTACGGGGCGGTGGGTTCCTTGTGGACTTTGCAGTTTCCTTCATGATGCACAAAGGTGCTCACGTCCTTCCCTGGGTATCCTTGCAGCCCCTGGGCGTTTACACCCACTTTTCTCTGCTGAAAACCCCCAGAAAAATTTCCTTCTGGGTTTACGAATGATGAGCTGCTCATTTCAGGACGTTCCTGCTGGGGACTTTTCTCATTCTCACTCTCCATCCCATGTCCTGCTGGGGTAGAAGTAATAATACCACTTAGGAGCAGAAATATGGCATGGCAGAAAGGGGAAAAGACAGAAGATAAAGCATCTCTTGGATGGGACCCTGGGGTGCAGCTCTCACCTCTGCGAGGGTCTCCCGGGGTCTCCGACTCCTCCCTTGGTTGGGGATCGCCTTCCCGTCGCTCCATCCCCTCGGCTCGCTCTGGCTCTGGAGCGGGCAGGGTCACTGCCGCCCTTGGGGACAAACTGTTTGTCTGAGGGGAGAGAAAAAATAAGCATATGATAAATCCTTCTCATGCACGAGACGCTGCTACGTTTTAACTCTCCACGTCACCGTACCCGCCGGAGAAATAGCATTTTGGACAATCAAGCGGTGGATTTATCACAGCAGCGGGAAATGCTGGAGTAATGCAAGGCAGAGAGGACACCATCGCTTTGCTCCGAGCCGTGTCCAGGTGAGGGTTGCACATCTCCAAGGATGGAGACCCCCCCCCCAATAATCTGGGGGTCTCACCACCCACACGATTCTTTTTCTTCTTCCCCCATTGGCATAATTATCTCTTGGTGGAGCATGGGGGCTCCATCACCTCTGCAACCCCCCCACAACCCCCCGGGGTGTCTGCAAGCAGTGATGCCCCCCCCTTCCCCT